ACCGAGAGGGCTACAGATACAACACGACCCACTACTCCTGCAAGGTCGCCTCAGCAACCCTCGAGCCCACCAGCCTGGAAATCCAGGTTACAGAGCGCCGTTAGTGCCTGGATGTTGCAAGGCGCCAACGGGGTCTTGAACAGCTCCACATATCGAAGGACGTCCCCTTCATCCGCCTTGTTCTCATCCTCGATGAAGCCGAGCTTTTTCATCACCACCCTCTGCGCCTTGGTAGAAGAATGGATGTGCTTGCCTCCGTTTTTGGCCGCCAGACGATTGCTCCTCCTAGGAGAGTAGGGCACCACCTGCTGGCGCTGCCTCACCCTCGACGGCCGTGGACGCCTACCCAGGAGCGCCATTGTCAATGGTGCAGCGAAATCTGCCAACGCCGCGGCCGCAGCAGCCGCCGCCTGAGAGAATAGGGGTGTATGCGGCTGCGAATCAGGGGACGCGACCGACGCCGCGGTGGAAGAAGTCACGCCGGGTGGACCCGCAGTGGGCCAGGACACCGGGGATGCCGCCGAAGTCTCAGCGGACCGGGCCAGTAATGTTGCTAGTGGGGATGGGGTTCCACTGACTAGAGCATGACAGGCCAACGACTCCCTTCGGCGCTCGTAGACGATAAGCGGGCTTCCGCATTGGACCGGCCCGCTGAGTTGCGCGCGCAGAGCCGGTGGGGGTTCAAAAATTCCCGCCTCCGACTCCACCTCCTTCTCCGGGTCCAACGTGCACAAGTTGGGAGATTGCGCCGCCATTAATGAACCCTCTGGGGCGAGATCATCCCCAAGATCCTCGAAGGTTAGCTCTCTTGGCGCCGGAAGGTCGCTGACCGGTGGGGGCAGCGTCAGGGAGGCCGGTGCTGAGCTGGGACGCGTAAATGCTCCTGGTGAAGGTGGACCCAACAAAGTCTGCCGTAGAATGACGCCATCACGAGTCAACAGGTTGGGGCCCACCTCCACAGACTGCACTGGCGAGGAGCCCGACGCAGAGGCCGCCACCACCGGCGACGTAGGCAGGAGTACCGGCGACGACTCATGTTGGGACCCCACTGTCGCCGGCAGCAACGGCTGAGGGGGTTCCGTCGCCGCCGCTGACTCCGGAGGCGAGTCCTTTGCCGCTGGCACAAACACTGGCTGCGGCGACCAGAACACTGGTCTTGTGAAAGCTCCCACGACCGCTAGTGTCGACTGAGTTTCCGGCGCCGAATCTTCACATTGGGACACCACCGCCACCGGTGACGACGGCAGTAGGGACTCCTTCCCCACCGCCGCGCCCCTCCTAGCGGGCGACTCCAAGACATCCCGCGGGGACTCCTCCACCGCCAGCAACAACCGCGGGTTGCAGGGAGCACATGGACCACGCTGCAGCTGACGCTGTAACTGCATGCCCCCAGCAGCCCAAGTGCCCGGACCAGCAAAGCGATGGCCCCCTCCAAGAATCGGCCCCGGGCCAGTACCGTCGATTCGGCCAAGGTAGGTGCGATGAGTGCGACGGCGAGGAGGCCCAAAGACATCATCCGAAGATTCTCCCTCCGTCGCCTGCATCGGATCAACCACCTCGAGGAGATGCAGCAGGAGGTCGAAAGTGAGGCACCTCTTCTCCGATGGCGGCGCTGGGGGAGCCTCAGCCACCAGCGCCTCGAACATGTTCGCATCATCCACCTCTGGCTCCCCCCACCACTCCATCATGGGCTCCGGAATCTCCAGCGCGAACTCCTTGGGGATCAAAGACGAATTACTGGACCAGGCCAGCACCTCAGTCATGCAAGCATCAACCGGTTCGAACCACTCAATGAATTGACAGTCGATCTTGTTGAGAAACTGCTTGATCGCGTCCACTTCAACCGCGTGTGCAGGGAGCCCTTCGATGGCTAGCCTCACGACATGAGCCATCTTCGAACTGCGGGCATGGACCGAGCGATGCCACCGACGGAAGGAGATCTTGGCGCCGGCGACGGTGAGTCGTCCGGATTGGTTGAGAACTGTTGTGCAGTCTTCCCCCCGCGCGAAGTAGATGAGGAAGTCCGACGGCCTCGTCACCTCGACCCGCACATTGCTGTGCAGGATACCGCACGCGCGGCCCAGCTCCTCCACCAGCCTGGCCGGCGAGACCTCCTTGCGGCCGGACAGAACGCTAGCCACCAGCGCCCGGCCCAGCAAACGGCGCTCCACCTCCGCCATCCCCGGAGTCCAGGAGAGGACACCATGGCCAGCCGCCGGCCGCAGGAACGGATCCCCCGCCCCGAGATTCTCCATCCGCGAGTCGAGCGAGGACGAAATCGCGCACCGAGGCGGCTGGGCAGAAGAGGGCGCAGAAACTTTGCCCTTCCCCTTCTCCTTCTCCTTCTCCTTCCCCTCCGCCTGCCCTACCCCCTCCCTTGCCCTGATCTCCCGGGTCGGAGCAGGAGCCGGCGGCACAGCGGCCGCGACAACCGCCGCAGCCTCACGCCTGGGACGAGAAGAGGGGCCACGGTCGAACTTGCAGTCTCTCTCCAGATATCCCGAGAACCAGCACCGATAGCATCGTGGAGCACCCTTGCAATCTGCTTTAAGATGCCCCAACCCAAGACAGCAGAAACACCTACCCTGGAGCCACCGAGGGATAGGGCGCGCTCGCTCAGGCAGAGTAAAGGCGGTGGTTGAGCGGCCGGAGGGCTGACCGCCATTACTCTTCCTCTTCACCACCTGCCAGCCCGCATCAATGTCCTGCTGCGACAGCACCGGTGGGCCCACGCGAGGGGCCCGGACAACCTCCGCCCAGGAAGCCGCCGGGGCCACCGCGCTTGGAGTTGGACGCCGACCGTCGGAGTGGGCGTCCGCCTGGGAAGGACGGCGGCCATGAGCAGTCGCTGGGCGCATCGCTTACCTGTTCCTACTGTTTGAGAAAAAAACCACGAGATGATTTTGGGGCAAGACACATTTGAGAGCAGAGCAGACTCACTCACCTCACATGTGCCAATCTGAAGAACTGCTCCTGATGACACCACAATCACAGCCCATCCAGTTCACCCTCCAGCCATCCTCATTTGAGCTCTTCGCATTCCGATCACAACAATCGGCGATGTCGGTGCGAGGTTTGCGCAGATCGGGCTTGCCAACATGCTCAACTGTGGTGGCACCATTGTTGATGTGGAGTGCAGAGATGGAAATGGGAGTGAGGTGAATATGAAGGTAGAGGGGGCAGGGAGGCTTTTGGTGTTCTCAAGTGTGAGGCCACAGAGGTGTTTGGTGGATGGCTTTGAGGATGCATTTGAATGGGAAAATGGCGGGAAACTGATGGTTGATGTGTCCTGGAAGCAGGACAAGAATGGTATCTCTGATGTGGTGTTTTGTTACTAGTTTACTGTACTGTACTGATGATGAATAGAACATGTAGTACATGTACTGTTTTCATGGTGTGATTAAGTAGCGTGTTTTCATGCTATGCAAAATTTGTAATTTTTCCAATGTATAATAATAGTGTGAAGAACAAGTGTCACTTGTTAGTTGTTACACTGAATTTCCATTTTCTAAAAAAAGTTGTGTTACAATGAACTTGTATTGCGTATATTCTTCAGGAGTTGACATGGCCTGCAATTTCTTACAGATTTGAATGGCACGCTGTTCGTGGCAGCCATGATTTTCTTTGTTCATTTTTTATAATAATTTGTTTGTCTTGGACAATGATAATTAAACATAAGCCGGCTGATTTTTTTTAAAGATGATGACAAGATTAGAGGAAGAATGAGAAGAACACCTGAAAAACTCGCATATAATTCAACAGATTTCATATTTACAATGACGCACCTCAAAAACTCGTTTCACAGAATAATGATATTAACGCACATAAAAATTCATGAATTTGGTATGATTTGTAGTCAGACAAGTCACTCCTGGTTAAATAATTAGGATGAAAGTAAAGATTCTCCTACAACAACTTGATAGTATGCATCATAACAGTATGTTCGAGTCCTCATCTCTCGATGATGGTTAATTTGCACTTAAGACTGAACAAAGAGTCAAGAGAACATTAAGTTCGAAGGCGGCTCATTAGTACTCTAAATAAAATGCCAGTAACTATTCTCTCACATATTTCTTGAACTTGAAGTGTGAACTACTACAAACAAACATGTTTTGGGTTACCATTAGTCCCTTATGTACTATGCTTAAATACAGTGAAATACACCTGTCTAATTACTTTGTTAGCTAGGCTATAAATGTAGTATATCGAATTACCAATGCAACTATGCAAGTCTTTATTTTGACCACAGTATTTACTGAACCAGACTGCAAGTAAAAGTGTCACATTTTTTCTCCTGCAACTGCAACAATCCAAACAAGAAATTTAGTCTTGCTGAACTGTTAGACTTGGCACCAGCCAATGATCCTTGACAACCCAGAAATAGCTTACAGCTGGCAAATTGCCAATTCCATGCTAGCTACTCCATCCGGTTTGAGATTAACTGACGTTTTGGAGTAGTAGCTTAGGCCAACCCCATATTTTGATTTTCTTGCAGGATCATTATCGCGTATCTGGTTTTGACCTTTTATGCGTGCTCTTAATACCACATTATTTATCCTATCAATACAAAGATACGTATATATGTTTCCCTTAAACAAACAACCCTCGTCTAATTCATATCTCTACCGCAAGTCTAATTTACAGGTATAATTCACATTTTTAATCAAAGAAACACATTAAAGGTCACTTTGTTGATTTATAGAATTGAAACCTGACATCTCCATGAAAAAAAATTATATTGTAAAACCCATACCATGAACTCTGCGCTAAAGAAATCGACGACGTAATCAGATTAAAATCTTCAAGATCACAAATTAATTTCTACCATTCCAAACATGGGAAAAACATGTGGAAACTGGAAACAGCACATTGACAACCCATCCAAGAATTAAATTCCAAATGCTCCCAAAAATAGCCCTCTCATATAAAACCCACCATTTTTAGTCTCACTAAATCTCTCCTACCAATATATGCAATCCACCCCTTCAAAATCCTCCTATTTCCACTCCTCTCGTCACCACCCGCCTCAAAAAACTATCAACCCCGCCATTTGGAGAAGGAGGAGGAGCAAGAGCTCCAAGAAGAGCTCCCCCCCCTCCACCACCACCACCACCGATCTCTCCTCCAATCCGCGGCTCATCCTCCCATCCCCGTGTTGCGGGATCTTTCCGGGCGGAGCAGCGGTGGTCGGGTCGCCGGATTTGGGGGTGATCCGGGTTTCATGGGGTCGCCGGAGGGGGAGGAGGCGGTGGTGGCCACGGCGGCCGTCGTGGAGGACGGGCTGCGGGGGAACGGGGATGGTGGTGGAGGTGGGGTTGGGGAGGTGGTTGGGGTTGGGAGGAGCATCGACATGGAATGGCGCAAGGCTGAGGAGGCCGGTGAGTTGTTGTTCTTGATTTTTTTTAGATAATGGAAATGGGTTACATCTCCGGCTTCTGTCATAAGAAACACAGCCATAAGTTTAATAGTAATGAAAAGTTAAGATAAAAGTAAATCAAAATGAGAAATAAGGTGATGCGACGAATCCCCAACTCCCCTTTATTGTTGATTAGCGTTAAGCACCACATAAAAACTTTTTAGCTAGCAATTGATTTGATATCAGTTAATTTTCTTTGTTTTTTTGGTGGATTGTGGCTTCAGCTATTGTGAAATGCATGAGCTGATGATGTTTCGAATCGATCGATGGGATGTGTCCTCGGTGGATTAAATTTTCTGCGATTCAGTAGTGCTTTTTCTTTGCATTGCATAGATTAGTGCTGTTTGATTCAGAGGTTAGAATGTGTATGCTGTGCCATTCTGACATAATTCAAGATTCCCAGATATATAGGTTGGTTCCATCTGTTAACTCTGTGGTGAACAAACAAATACTAGTACTTTCGTTTTGCTTCTACTACTTACTGCTGTAGCAATTTAGGAGAAATTGTTTTTAATTTGGTAAGAAACAAAAAGAAAAGGTAATCAAAGAAATAGTCAGAATGCCGTGTGCTAAATGTTGTTGATGTTTTCTCTAGTCTCATCGATGCTAGTTGAACTGTGTGTTTCATCTTTAGCCCCTTCATTTGCAAATTTCTTATTATCCCCTACTTGGTACAATTATAAGAGTAAATCAATAAAGATGGACTAGGTTATGATTTTATCAGACTTTGGCACTTAAAATCCCTGATTAAGCTTACTTTGCAGCTCTCTACATCTTAATAAAATTTTGGCTGACGTTCTGCACCAGCCTGGTGAAAGAAAAGTTGTAGCATCCCATAAACCCTCAGGAATCCAGCTAAATTTTATATAAGAGTATCCTTTTATAGTTATCAATGACACTTTTATTAACCACGGTACCTTAGGCATTCAGTGTCTAAATTTAGCTGCAATGTTCGGTAAAAAAAAAGCTAGCTGCAATAATTCCTTAGGTGTTTGGAAGCAATCAACACTGGGATTTTAGTGTATTTTGTAGGTTACTACTTCAATCTCTTGATGAGCAACCGATGGGTTTGATTTGGACTGGTTTCTAGAATTGAAATCATCCTATTTCACAGTACATTTTTATGTCGACATTCGAATAGTACAGATATTCTATTGTAGTTTTTAACATACTGGGGTTATATGAACCGGTGCTTCAATTTGTTTGAGAAATGCAGCAATAAGAAGATATGAAGCAGCCAACTGGTTGCGAAGGGTAGTTGGGGTGGTGTGTGGAAAGGACCTTGCAGAAGAGCCCTCCGAGGAGGAATTCCGGCTTGGCCTGAGGAATGGCATTGTTCTTTGCAATGCACTCAATAAGGTTCAACCTGGTAGCGTGCCCAAGGTTAAACTTCTCTCCTTCAGGTATTCAATATAGTCTTGTTTATGTTAGCTAATTTTACATTCCGAGTATGATGCCTTTAGGTTGTGGAGGCCCCCTCGGACTCTGCAGATGGTGCAGCTCTCTGTGCATATCAGTACTTCGAGAATGTGAGGAATTTCCTCATGGGCCTACAAGATTTGGGTCTCCCAACATTTGAGGCATCCGATCTAGAAAAGGTGACACTGCCATTATCATTTAGTCGTAGACTTCTAGTGACATTCCTTTTCCTTCTTAACAGTTCAACACTAAAGCTTTTGGCACAATTTACTGATGTTATATTGTAGCACATGACATTTTAAAAGGGATGCAGGATGCTGCTTCTATAAAAAAAAATCAGTAATTTAGCTTCTATAGATTGAGTGAACTTAATGTTTTCATCTACAGGGTGGAAAAGGAGTTCGAGTTGTAGACTGTGTTCTTTCTCTGAGGTCATTCAGTGAAAGTAAGCAAGTAGGAAGATCAGCTCCATTAAAATATGGTGGCATTCTAAAGCCTTCAATGTCTGGAAAGCACTTCATCCGCAAGAACTCTGAGCCTTTTGTGAAGACGATGGTGAGAAGCTACTCAGCAGAGTTACTCAGAGATGGCGTATCACTAGAGCAAAGCTTAGGTCTTGATTTTTCACTAGAGCATGTGGAAAGAGTATGCCTCTGTCTATAGATCTTCTTTCTTTGTAGGTAAATTTCTTTACTTCGTAGTAATCTTTACCTTCTTGATTGTAGACTACTCCAGACTCCATCAGAATGCTTGTCCAAACAATGCTCTCAGATAAAAAGCCAGAAGAAATACCGTCGGTAAGCCTATTGCTTAGTTGACTCTTTTGAGCGATGTGATTGATGAAATAAATATTTTTTTTTGACTCTGGTGATTTGCAGCTTGTAGAATCACTGTTGAGCAGAGTTATTCACGAATTTGAGCGTCGTACTGCAAACCAGAATGAATCGGTATTTCAATTCATCAGTCTTGCAAATTCTGCATTGTTTTAGTGACCTTTTCATTTTGGCTGTACTAACTACATGCGTAGATCCACTAACTGAGAGTTCTTTACAGGTGAAACATGCTTTGGATCCTAATGATGATAAGTTGTTATCCAGAGCAGATACACCACCAGAAATGGAGTCAACTTGTACATGCAGTACAGGGAATGTATGTACTTTTTGTCACTGTTAGTTCTCAATGTGCTCCAGTGAATAACCATTAGTCCATTACCAATTAGACATATCTAACATTTTCTTACAAAAGTATCTAACTCACTGTTATAAATTGTTCACCTTGTGAAGATGGATGAAGAAGACCATACTTCTGTGAGTATGAAGGAAGAAGTCAGCACTGCTGTACTAGTGAATGGTGAAAATGTGGTCGAGCATATACAGGCAAAGCAAACAGATAAATATTTTGATCAGCAACAGAAACATATCAAGGTATTTATAATAGTAGATGTTCTCTTTTGAATTTAACTCTGCATCCATACTACATTTGAATGTTTGTTGACATTTTCTGCAGGACTTGAAAAGTAATCTTGCAACTATGAAGTCTGGGATGGAGCACATCAAACTGCAGTACTCTGAAGACCTTGATAAGCTTGGTAAACTGAATTCTGAGTTCCAAATATCCATAATATTTTCCACAATTCTCTCGAGATCTTTCAGGGCATCACATATTCTTTCTTTTCTGTATCAGGGAAGCATGTGCACACTCTTTCTCATGCGGCTTCTGGGTATCATAAAGTTCTTGAGGAAAACCGTAAGCTATACAACCAAATACAAGATCTTAGAGGTACCCTTTTTTGTTCCTTATGATATAAGTAATGGAGGATTGTACAATGTACATGCATCTTTCATGGGGCAACACAACATGCTAATACATCTTGTTTCTTCTTTGCCAGGGAATATTAGAGTATATTGTCGAGTACGACCTTTCTTACCTGGAAAGGTAAGTTCCTCAAGCAGTGTCGCTGGACTTGAAGATAGAACTATCACTGTCATGACTCCATCAAAACATGGAAAAGATGCCCGGAAATCTTTTACTTTCAATAGGGTTTTTGGACCATTAGCCACGCAAGGTTGTACATACAATCTGTGATACTGCACTATTTCTTTCAACTAGAATATGGCTGTTGTCAATTAAATGATGGACAATCTTTTGATTAGTGCAGAACAGGTCTTTGCGGACATGCAACCTTTAATCCGTTCTGTGCTCGATGGATACAATGTTTGTATATTTGCATATGGACAAACCGGGTCAGGGAAGACCTTTACAATGGTGCCTAACTTGTCCAATGTTTTTCACATTCAATAGTCTTGGAATATCAGAATATCATTCTGCTAATTTTGCAGAGTGGTCCTAAAGTATTGACGGAAGAAGGACTTGGTGTCAACTATAGAGCATTAAATGACCTATTCAACATTCAAGCACAGAGGAAAGATACATTTTGTTATGAAATTTCTGTGCAGATGATTGAGATCTACAATGAACAAGTGAGAGATCTCCTTCAGAATGGTGGAAACAAGAAATATCCTTTCCTATTTCTTACTAAATTAGATATTGATTTATCATTAGTTATCATAAATTCTTAAATTTTTGTGATACACAAATGAATATTGCTCTTCTGTGACATATTTATTCTCCTTAACCTCAAGAAACAGTGGACATTAAAAATAGTTCGCAGAAAGGTATAGCAGTTCCTGATGCAAACATAGTACCAGTCACTTCAACATCCGATGTGATTGATTTAATGAATCTTGGCCAAAAGAACCGTGCAGTATGCTCAACAGCCATGAATGACCGTAGTAGCCGCTCCCATAGGTATGATTCTGCAATGCTACCCTTTTTCAAACAAATCAATGGCATCTTTCATACCAAACAAAATTCTGAACAAATTATTTCTGGCTGATGACTGGGGATTGTATTTTGCAGCTGTCTAACAGTTCATGTTCAGGGAAGAGATTTGACATCCCGGACAGTTCTAAGAGGCTGTATGCATCTTGTGGATTTAGCTGGTAGTGAAAGAGTTGATAAATCTGAGGTTGTAGGTGATAGGCTGAAGGAGGCACAACACATAAACAAGTCATTAGCAGCACTAGGCGATGTGATCGCATCCCTTGCTCAGAAAAATGCACATGTTCCTTACAGAAATAGCAAACTTACTCAGTTATTGCAGGATTCTCTTGGTATCTCTAAAACTCTACATCCTTGTTTTCACCTTGTTAAAACTGGAAGCATGTGGAGTAAGTTTTTCTATTTTTCCATGGTTAGGAGGACAAGCAAAAACATTAATGTTTGTTCACATAGCCCCAGAACCAGATGCTATTGGTGAGTCAATAAGCACTTTGAAGTTTGCAGAGCGAGTTGCTACTGTTGAGCTTGGAGCAGCTAAGTCAAACAAGGAAGGGGGAGAAGTCAAAGAGCTCAAAGAACAGGTTCTTATACCAGCTCCACCTTTTCATTTTCTTAACTTGGGGCAAATTTTGCTTATGTATCTCTTATTGCAGATAGCTTGCCTCAAGGCAGCATTGGCTAAGAAAGATGGTGAAACTGAAAGCATACGAAGCACACAATCAAGCCCAGATATATATAGAATGAGGATGGGCAGCGCACCTCCTGCATTCAGGAACCCAATGGAAGAAGTTGGAAATCTAGAGGTATTTCCTTTCCCAAGATGAAATTCATAACAGATTAAATGGAAGACAGAAAAATAATTATTCCTTATTTGACTGGGGATGTTTCTTAGAACTCTATATGTTTTCATTTGTAAAATATACTGTATTCATATGCCTTAAAAGATACAGCAAAACTCTGTTACATGGTTGGATCAATCTAATTTTGCGCATTTTAATTTAAAAGACCAGAAGCAATGGCACTCCCAGACAGAAGAAACGAAACTTTGAATTGCCAGATGTAGAGAATGATACATCTTCATGGCTTGATACTAGTTCTCAGAAGGAAGCAGCCTTGGGAGAATGGGTTAACAACTCCCAATTTGGTAGCAGCAATTCCCTACTAGAATTGGGACCTGATGCTACACAAGATGTAGTCTTCTATCAAAGAAACAGTCCTGAGCCGCAATGGAGTTGGGCTGGGTCTGTCGCAACAGAGGATTCTGATGACTTTGAGGTCACAACCAGTTGCTCGTCAGAACAAGATATGGTGCGTCCAACAAGTGCACCAAAAGCTCCAGGTTCTGCAAATGGGAGTGCCTCAATTGCAAGGAAGGCCCAACCCAAGGGTGCAAAAAGCACAGACATCAGGTATGTCAATTGCTATTTTTGAAATTGTTCTAGTAATTATCAGATTTTGTGCATTGTTGTCCTGAGCTATGCTGGGTTTGAATTACTTCAGAAGCACGAATCCTGCGAAAAGGGCAGCACCATTACAAAAAAAGATAAACGGACCTCCATCGGCGTCAACCAAGAACGGAAAACAGTTGAGTTTGAGTGCGGCTGATGGAAAGAGAGCTCCCAATGGTAAAGTGAGCGCCAAGAAGTAAGCAATCCAGGGGAGCTTTACTCTTGTTGTGACCATCTTCGCCTTTATGTTGATCCTATTGGAGATGAAGTATACTAGGCAGACAAACATGTCAGTCCTCTTCAAAGGTTGCTGGCTCATTGTTTTATCATTCATTCAATCAATTTTTGGTACTGTACATAGATAGAATAGGGGCCAGAAAAGCATGAGTATTGGGAAAGATCAGTTGATCACCAAGGGAATATTTCTCTTCAGATGTATACAATTTACAATTGTTGGAGTTGAGTAAACTCTGTTGTATGATGTATTCAGGAGTCATGAGTCATGACAACAAACATATGGATCGGTTTCTGCTGTGTGATCTTGTGATGTGTTGTTTGACAAGTTTTTCGCTGTGGTGATTGAGCACTCGAAAAAAAAGTTTATTTCTGAAGATGAATTCTTTGCCATGCCTAGTTCCGTATAGTATTGATCTTAACCCATAAGAGCATCAACTCAACTGTTAGAGTTTCTTTCTAAAAAGATACGAAAGTCCGAATTGCCATCATTGCCTTGTGATTCTCCTGGGAAAAGCTGCAGATCCTAGATTGAAACTGAAACATCTCTTCAGTTTACATGCCTGAATTCAAGAGCTGCAATTTAATAATCCATACCTGAAGTTTAGCATTGAGGTTTGCATTAGAATCCGGGTGTCATGCTATTTTCGTTCGCTCTCTCGCCCAGTAAAGGAAACACACAATGGGGATGAATACAAAATACACAAACCTTGCTCTAGAACCTGAACATAATGGCTCAAACATGTAGATATCTTCCTACTCTCGTCGTCCCTCACTGATGAATCGAAACTGCACGCAGATCGATATCAGCTTCGTCCTCCTCGCTCCACCGGCCGGTTAAGTTTCCTCATGTTCCAAATGCCATCAAATTAACCACCTGGTATGTCACGCTATTATGCTGCTCTCCTCTCTCTCATGTAGTAAACGATTAAACGGACCACGGGATGGGGATGAATAGGAGAGTGTTATGATCCAAACCAATATAAAATGGCAAGCTTCGGGCATATACAAAAGTAAGTCCAATGAGAGGAAACATTCTGATCTTTGAGACTTAAGATTTCTCTTCTCAGTTTATATGTAGAAGGATGAGGTGTATGTTTGAATGTAAAAAGTTAAAGAATTTGAGAGTTTGGAGGAAAATAAATCGGCAGTGTTTAGAATCAATTTTAAACACTTTCAATTATATTTCCATTTTCACGTAGGCGTTCATCTAATTGAGGAAGGAAGGTTGTAGAGTGGAGTTGTTCATGTAATATAATTTCTTTTGCCCTATACTATTAATTAATTCCTTGAAAATTATATATATTCTGTAGTAAAGAAACAATAGTATGAAGAGATCATATAATTAATTCCTTGAGAATGCAGGATCATACAAAGTTTAGATAAATAACTTTGTGTGGTTAAAACATGTGTATGATACCCAATGAAAACATTAAGAAGGAATATAATGAATAGTGGTAGAATTCAACCAATCAAAACTCAGGTACATCAAACGACAACCGATCCTGCATATATGATGCAGAGATATGCATAGAAACATCACTGCATATATGATGCAGAAAAATGCATAGAAACATCACTGCTATTATCTCTGAACTCACTCAAAAAATAGCTCAAAAAATGTTGACAATGATTCCATGAGATTATCAGTTGTATCCCGGCAAAACCCAGAAATTTGGTAGGATTCTGGTTCAACTATCTTGTAATATTTAACTCTGAATATGAAGCAGAAAATTGAGGAGAACTAGAGCCCTACTGCTCATATAACTCTGAATCTGAAGCAGCTCAACGAGATTTTTATTTGAGAAATCACTGGAGCGGAGAGCTTCCCCACCTGAATTTAGCGAGATGGATTTGAGCCTCTTCACTTAGACTCATGGTTTTTACATTTTCTCTATTCAGGTAAGAACTCTTGGGTATCCTTTTTAACTCTTGACTTAAACAGTCAAAGCGAGCTGAACTTGAGTCATGCTGGTGCTTTTCACCTCCATAATGATTATTGATAAATCTGAAGGTTCAGAGGGTGATGAATGATTAAAAAATGACAAGTTTGCAATACATGCAAGTTCATATTTCTGTAAGATAACTCATTTCCTCATGGACTATAAGTGTAAAAGAAATACAATTGCACTATGCTATTATCAATTAAATGAAGATCCCCTATATTATTGCTTAATATTTACAAATAAACTATCCTTTATAATGCGAACATAAGAGAGCCTTTAAGTAAAGTTATTTGAGAAAATGCACAAACCTAGCTCTGGAACCTGAATGACTTAAGCATCTAGATATCTTCCTACTCGTTGTCGCTCACTGGTGTAGAGCTCATGGACCGATTCAACTGTATCGGCAACTGCCTCGCCGACCCTGGAACTTTATAATCCTGATAAACCGAAATGTAAGCTTTGGATGCAAACTAGAGATCTTGAGAGAAACTTGGATGATAGAAGGGAATATCCAAGAGTTTGGTAAGTTACAGTAATCAGATCTGGTCTGTTCTTCCATGCTAAAACAAGATAACAAAACATACCTATCCAGGACACATCAATGATTGACTTACAGTTTGTACTTCGGATCAAGTGCACACCTGAACTTTTACTCTAGGCCAAATTCTCCACAGGCAAAAGTACTTAGCTGGTAAAAAAGAATCACAATAGTGTACTAGCTAGCACTTTCAGAATTAGTGTACTAGCTAGATGCCTGTCGATCGATCGTTTGAATGAAATTATCGCAAAAAGTAAATGTCAGCTAGGCAACAATTTAACTCCTGCAGACACATGAAAGATCTGCAGATAGTTGAGTAGATATTAAGGTAAGAGATATATAACCATGTGTACACTATACCAAGGTGTACTTTCTGAACAACTGCTAAGCACGATCCATCCCATGAGAGAATCACAAATGGCACAAAATATGGTCTTACCAAAGGTGCCTGTACAAACAAACACATGACAAAGCATAAGTTCCTCCACAAAAATAATCAGCATCAGAAATATTCAGACAATATTACATCAGTAAAACGCATCGAGTTTTCACATCTCATTTTTTTTCAGAGTAATGCAAAAAGCAAAATCCAGCAAATTTATGTACACAGATTATGCTGTGTTATTATCTCTGTTGACCTCAGATTCCAAAACTGAAAAATTGGTTTGTTTCTGCTTGTAAATTTCAGAAAGAAACAGAACTAGTTTTGAACTTGCTGTACCTCTTTGCAGGATGGATCGGCTTTATTCAGATGTCTCACCCAGTTGAGTGTAGCATCGACATAGCTGACGAGAGGGAAGAGCTGGAGGTAGAAGGCGATCTCACTCTGCACTTCCCTGAGCTCGTCGGCGTGCCGGCCTCCCATGAAGCAGCGGTACACGTAGCTCCGGCCCTGGCATGACCGGACGAGCAGGTACGCTCGCCGGAGCGTCTCCTCCAGCTGCTCCACCGGGTTCCTCGTCTCCGGCTGCTGCATCAGCTGCGCACCGTGGAGCTGCTTGAGAAGATCTCCGATCATCTTGAGGCGCCGCGCGAGCTGCAGGCACGTCGCCCTGTTGCGCCGCACCGTCTGCGCCGCCTCGGCGATCATCTTGATCAGGCCGTAGGCGTCCACTCCGGCGAACTGCGCGATGGTGGAGGCCTGAGCAACCAGAGCCATCTTGCGTTCGTTGGATACTTGGATGGCACTGTCCTAGGAGAAGAAGAAGAATGCAAGAAGCGGCTACTAGATGAGCTGCTTATAAAAATGCAGTGATTCGGCAGAGCAGAAAACGTCAATCACTCATCATCTTTAATATCATTGGAGCATCTGGCATGATGTGACTGGTTTTGGCTAAATTGCTTAGGAGGTGGTGTGCTATGCCTAATTGTCTACAGGTCCCCATTATTGACGTTTGAACAAAGATTAGGATGGGGGGCGGAATCAGGCGAGTTCCAGGAAACTTCATGCTTAGATCAAGTTTAATAGTATAGCCCACTATTAGCTCCAAATCATCTATAGCCAATGCAATAGCCCATTCATACAATAATTGCTTACTATACTATTAATATATGGTCCCACATGTCATACACATATTACGTCTTGGAGTCCGTGTTGCAGCTGGCTATAGATCGATCTGTAGCCCGCTGCTCTTCTCTCTCATCGTTTATTGCATTAAAATATGTTTATAGCTGGCTAATAGCCTGCTATTGTACCTGCTCTTATATGCAGGAGTTGAATCTGTCAAAAGTGAGCATCTACACAGCTGTTTTTGTTTTCTTGCTCCATGGTACTTTGTGACCATGGAGGATCTGACTAGTTCTATGTTGGACCTTGGATTTTGGTTTCTTATTGAACCTAGACGGGAATGGTCATTTAAGAGACATGTAGAGTTCTTGTAGATTTGCAATTTACAGGTTTTCCATACAGGATAAAGATCTTTTGTTGTAGCTGTACACTTAAAGTTATAGTTCCTACTAGCGTGGCTCGGCCCCTTCCTCTAGCTTAGAGTTTGTGTTTAGCCACCGTAGTTTTCTCTTAGCTCAGCTTTTTATTTTGCTTTTTTCTCCCTTCCCTTAGCGTAAGCCGGTCTGGCTGATTGCGTCGTGTAACTATAACTTTTTTCTTCTAATATATTGATGTGCAATCCTTTTGCGCGTTAAAAAAAAAACTTAACAGCATACAGTTCATCTTATAGCATTTGATTATTATGTCCAGAGGTGCCACTTCTGATGTTTTTTAGTTCACTCCCCAAATCTTTTAACCTTATCATAGACTCTGAAATTATAACTGAGCTTTGTGATCATTCCTATACTCTTCAGTTATTTTTTTCAGTGCTCCGTTTATCTGAACTGTGTTTGAGCTCATGAATTGCAAGTTCATCTAACAAGTACAAATTGTTCTTCCAGTTAATGGGCTGACGTAGGCCCAAGCCCATTCTTGGGCCGCACGTGATTGAAATCCCGTGCCGGCCCAAATTAGTATGGACCGCACGTGAGTCACAATACTGCTACGGCCTAATTATTCCTAACTGGATCGCACGTAAGCCGAAATCTCTGCTCAAGTAAGGCCCACTCCCATTCTTGGGCCACACAAAATAGAAACTGTTCCAGACCGACTAGTATTCTGGCCCAGTAAAGATGGGCCGTACCAGCACACGATTTCAGTCACTGCTTGTCTGCAACTGAAAGTTCAGATTTTTCTCATGGATATATAACTGCATCTGCCTGCATGAGAAAGTATGTTTAAAAAGTTTTTTTTTAACCTAGGTAGATGTCCATCGATCCTATTAACATTGGGCCTACTACATTGTCTGTTTTCTGTTTGTCTGATCCTGAACCTAGCATTTCAGCCAAACTAAAAATTGGATATCATTGGATTCATATTGGAATCCTAAAAAGAATGTTGCTCAGCTTCAGATCCCTATCAATAATTCGTACCCTGGAATAAGTGTATAAATAAGCTACACCCTGTTATATCTCTTCAATTATTCAGAAGAGTGTCAGCCAATCAATGATCTGTAAATATTTTTGTTTTTGCTGGATGATACTAAATTGTCTGGTTTTAAATTGGACACTTGGACCTGCATTTTTGTTTTCAGAGACAGCCAGCCAATCAACCCTGTCTCCTGCATTGCAAAGGTGCCAACCGACGACGCCATTCTGTGGTGAGAAGTAGGTCGACACGGTGCCCCTCCTATTAGTTGTTTAGCCTTTGTTTCTTTTCCTTCCGGAGTTGTTGGCTGATTTCTGTTGTTGAACCTTCTAAAATCTTAATACAAAAGATGCACAATCCTTACAAATAAATCTCTTGTTGCAGATCAGGATTTTAAGTCTCTTGTTGTACTTGAAACGTTTGCAATGTGCAAATCTTTACATGGTAAAAAGGAATTCATTACTGCAACTACAAAAGGATTTCATTTCGTATCAGCATTTCACCTGACGGCATTAGTTTACACCAGTGAAAATGAGTGAAAACCCACCAAAATGTTTCCATATATCAGGATTTGATCATTCCTGAACCTCTTCAGCTATTCAGTTCAGTGCTCTTGTGTTCGTCTGAAAAACTCTGAACTGTTTTCAGTTCATGAATACTACAAATTGCTCTCTTCCAATGATGAACAATCCATCAATCAGCTGCTCGTCTCGCCGCCGTGGATCGAGCTCGCCCTCGCCGCGGTGAATCGAGACCGGCCGGGCAGCGGCGGCGTGGCCTTCCCCCTGGGGCGCAGCATGTGGACAACCTCCGGCATGGCGGGTCGCCGCTTGGGGCTCTCCTGGATGCAGAGCAGCGCCGCGCGGGCGCACCGCCGCATCTCCCGCTGCTGCGACAGCGCGCGCCGCCTCGCCGGGAGCGAGAGGCAGCGCGGCAGCGCCCCGCCGCGGAACGACGCGGCGTGCAGCGGCGGGTCGACCAGCTCCTTCAGCCTCCGCGCCACGCGCGCGCCGCAGCACCATGATCTCACCCATGCCTGATACATGTAAGTTCAGACTTCCTTTTCTTTTAGTTGGGGCGAAAAGTTCAGGCTTTTATCTTTACTGCATCTGAATGCATGAGAAAGTATAATTTTCTACCTATGTACATCCATGGAACCTGATTCATGGGATTTGGTTGCAGGGGTGTGCCAGTGCTTGGAACAGGTGGTTAGGGAGTGTTTTAGCTAGGGATATTCATGACGGTTTAAGCTCCGTTCGGTTGTGGAAGTTCCCAACTCCTCCTCCTCGTTTTCCGCGCGCACGCTTTTCAAACTACTAAATGGTGTATTTTTTGCAAAAAGTTTCTATACGAAAGTTGCTTAAAAAAATCATATTAATCTATTTTTAAAAAAAATTAGGTAAAACTTAATTAATCACGTACTAAAACGTTGCTTCGTTTTGTGTGCCCCCAACCCTCACTCCCGAACACAGCCTTCGTCTGAAGATTGATGCTCCCTAGATTTTACTGCTTTCTTTCACATGTTATAAACTCTTTTGTGGGCGTGTGTGTTTTGACCGTATGCATCTAATTAATTATCCAGAGGTCAGAAATGCTCTAGCTACAGTCTAAGACTAATAAAAGCTTCCTTTATCAAAAAGAAAATCCATAGATGTCCATCTATTTGGCATGCTTAGGCTGTGTTCGTTGCTAGGTGTTCCCAACCCCTCTCCCTAGTATTCCGTGCGCACGCTTTTTAAACTGTTAAACTATGTGTTTTTGCAAAAAGTTTCTGTACAAAAGTTGCTTAAAAAATCATATTGATCCATTTATGAAAATAATTAGCTAATACTTAATTAATCACGCGCTAATAGACCGCTCCGTTTTCCGTGCGCGGGAGATTTGTTTCCAACCCCCACAACGAACTCAGCCTATGTGTTTCATAGTTAGAAAAGATTGGCAAACATGTTTACTAGGTGCATACATTGCCTGATTTTCTATTGACAGAACACTCCAGTTTTTTCTCAAATGCAAAACATAAATTTTGTTTTTTAGATGGATCATATAGTCATATACAAGCAACGTGTGTGTGGATGGTTTCAACATACCCATGTTAATAAATCTTTGTGGAACCGTGTCTGATTTGGTTGAGTCCATCTTTTTCCACTTATGATCTCCAGAACCATGACCCCGAAGCTATACACATCGGTTTTGACTGAGAAAATACCTTTATGCATATACTCTGGAGCACTGAATCCACTAGATCAGGGAAGAAAAAGCAATTTAAAAACCGTTAGAAATAAAAATGAATGAAGTGAAGTTGAATGAAATGAAATATTTGAAATGTAATAAAATTAACACTAGTTCATCTTACATTGAGCCTACCACGTTATCTGTTTTCTGTTCGTCAGTGCCTGAACTTAGCATTTCAGCCAACTCAAAATTGGATATTTTTGGATTCATATCTGAATCCAAAAGAATGTTGCTTGGCTTCAGATCTCTATGAATAATACATACCCTTGAATAATTGTGTAAATAAGCTAGACCCTGTGCTATCCCTTCAATTATTCTGAATCGTGTCGGCCAATCAAGTATCGACCTTGCTGTTGCTGCTCCTGCAAATGCTTGCAAGATGGCAACAATCAGTTCATCAACAAAATCTGTCCACAAATGAACTTGAAATTAACTGAAATTTAGTGAGAAGACATGCCAAATATGATGTTTTCCAAACTCCCGTTCTGCATGAATTCGTAGACAGTAGTCCTTTCGCGTCGTTCGGTGCAAAATCCCACGAGTTTGGCTACATTTTTGTGCTGAAGTTCTGGAAGAATCTTGATTTCGTTTTTGAATAGCTCATTCTCACTCATACATTCTGGTAACCTCTGACCTGAAGTTAGAAGTGAAAGTCTTTTGATGGTAACGTCATTCCCATGAAGTTTACCCTGAAATTGTGTACACGTGTACAAGTTAAGAAATGATTCTCTCAGCTATAAAAACATGAGAAGACTATATATAGGCATATAGCCTACTGTTGATGAACCACAAATTTCAGGCAGAGTGCCAATGGACTGTCTATAATACCAAATTAGTTTCATTAAATTTACCATTGAATATATTTTGATAGTATGTTTATTTTGTGTTAGAAATATTGCTAAGTTTTTCTATAAACTTGATTAAACATAAACAAGTTTGACGTAGAAGAAAATCAAAACGTATTATAATATGAAACGAAAGAAGTACATAGCTATTTTTTTATCATACCTTGTATAAAGTGGCCAAGGTGCTCTGTTCCAGTTGACTGTCGAGTGAAAAGTCATTTGTAGCATGCACAAGCTGAGAATAACTGAACTTCTCAAACCTGAATTCAGTGAGAGAAAATAAACACTAAACACTTGTGATTTCGTACTTCCATAATTCCATCACATAATCATACTAACACAAACAAAGACAGAGAGAGAGAGACCTAGCTTGAGGATTTGGGCGATTGGTGAGCGACATGAGCACTTCATCTTCTTCATCCTTTTTGAATTCACGAATTTAACCAAATATTTGTAATCTTGTACACGTATATATATACATGTATATATATACACAATTTCATACACGCATGCATGTATACAATACGAGAATTGCTTCGGTCCAGCAAAAGGTATCTCGAGGTACCAATACCTTACGCTACCAAATCGTTTTCAATCGTTGTTAGATCTAACGATCGGAAATGATTTGATACCGTGAGGTACCGTCGTACCGGTACCTTGAACTACTTTTTGTTGGAGTGGAGCAAATCCCATACAGTATATATACCTCGGGGCGTGGCGAGCGGGCGGCAGCGGCGCCGTCGGCGATGACGCGGACGAGGAGGCGTGTGCCGTCGATGTGGCAGATGATCGGGAAGAGCTGGAGGTAGATGCTGATCTTGCTCTGCACCTCGCGGAGGCTCTCGCCCTGCTCCTTCCCGGCGAAGAGCCGGCGAGGGTAGCTGCCCCGCCGCCGGCAGGACTCGACGAGCTCGTGCGCTCGCCGGAGCGTCTCCTGCAGCTCCCTCAGCGGCGCGCTCGTCTCCGGCCGCTCCATCACCGTCACCCCGGGCTGCTCCTGCAGGGCGCGGAGTAGGTCGCCGACCTGCTCCACCAGCCGGGCCAGCTCCAGGCACGTCCGCTTGTTCCGGCGAGCCGCCTTCGCCGCCTCCACGATCATCGTGATCAGCCCCAGCGCGTCCACGCCGGTGAGCTGCGCGATGTTCGCGGCCATGGACACCGCCTCGCTAGCCATCGGTGTGTCACGCGCACGGCTCACCGGCGGTGTGGCTGGCCGGAGGTGGAGAAGAAGAGAGCGTAAGTCAATCAAGAAGTGAGTTTTTGCTTCTTGAGTGAGTTTTGACCACTGTTTATGACCTCGCTCTCCTGGATGGATTTCGTAATTTTGTACTTTTGATTTGGACTATTGGTAACAAACTAGCCACACTAATCAAAGATGAATTTATTTCATGAGACTATATCAAATGTAAGAAATGATTATATGGACGCTGTCGCTTTCTGTTCAAAGGTAACAAATGGTTTCCTTGGGAATTTTAAGGTCCAAGTATATGAATTTCTGCAGCACTTAACGTTAACGTAACGTTAACGAAATGACTAAGGATGACCCATTCAATTATCCCCATTCACTAGGTCAGATCGGTCCAGTTCACCAGTGAAGGACTGTAATGCTCGTCACGGATGATCTCATCTTTGACAAGATCATTGGGAGACCATAATAGGTGAGGCCATCGGCCGAGGCCCGTCATAGATGAGGTATCTCGTGACGTGTGTAAAATTTGTGTCTCGTCAAAGATGACCTAAAAAAAGTCACTCTCCTCCTAGCTCCCGAACCCATCTTTGTCCTCTTCTTCTTTCTCCATCCCCTCATACTCCTCTCTCTCTCTCTCTCACCCTTCTTCTTCCACCCAGATGCGCCTCCCCCTCCGATCGACTGCGGTAACAGCTGTCGGGCGCCGCCTACCCCTTTGACTAACGAGCATCTGGTGCCGCCTTCGATCGTTGGGTGTTGTCTTCCTCGGAGCCTCCCCCTCTACCCCTACCAGATGTGCCTCCAATCAACAGGCGCCAGCTCCCACGAGCCCTCCTTCCCCTCCGGCCCAACCAGACGTTCCTCCAACCACCGGCTATCGGATCTAGCCTCCACAAGGTCTGGGGACATGGATCTGAACTGTAGGCACAGCCTCATCCATCCCGATGTGTTGGTAGCTTCGGTCTTCGTCCCTCGACCGCCAGCCACTAGATCCGTCGTCCACGTGGTCGGGGAGGGGTGAGGGGGGGGGGGGGGTTTGACAAGCCACAAGACCAAATGGCCCAAGTCCATCACAACCCATGCAGGTACACACTATGGTGGTGTTTGAAACTCATGTAGATGAAGATGAAGATTGAGTGCTTTACGTAAAACAAGGTGGTATTAGCGTATGATTAATTGAGTTTTAATTATTACAAACTTGAAAAATATATTTATCTGGTATTTTAGAGCAACTTCCATATAGAAATCTTTCGCACAAAACACACCGTTTAGCAGTTTGAAAAACGTGTCATGAATATCCAAATTTTCATCGAACTTTTGTTGGGGCCTATATATTGTAACATCCCCGCCTAGGGCTTAATAGAATACTCATATCAACAAGTTGCAACTTCTTTTCCGGAAGCCAATCTCCAAAGAACTCCAGGGTTAAGCGTGCTTGGCCTGGAGCAATTTGGGATGGGTGACCGACCGGGAAATTCTTCCCGGGTGCACACGAGTGAGGACAAAGTGTGCAGAAAAGATATGTGTTGGTCTGTGAGGGCAGTCTATGACCTATGAAAGCTATCAGATGTAAGTGGGCCCGGCCTGGGGGTGCACACGAGTGAGGACAAAGTGTGCAGAAAAGATATGTGTGCAGAAAAGATATGTGTTGGTCTGTGAGGGCAGGGCAGTCTATGACCTATGAAAGCTATCAGATGTAAGTGGGCCCGGCCTGGGGGTGCACACGAGTGAGGACAAAGTGTGCAGAAAAGATATGTGTTGGTCTGTGAGGGCAGTCTATGACCTATGAAAGCTATCAGATGTAAGCGTCCCGCCTCCCCCAGGCCGGGCCCACTTACATCTGATAGCTTTCACATATCTTTTCTGCACACTTTGTCCTCACTCGTGTGCACCCGGGAAAAGATTGGCTTCCGGAAAAGAAGTTGCAACTTGTTGATATGAGTATTCTATTAATCCTATTAAGCCCTAGGCCGGGATGTTACACCCTCACCCCGCCTCCCCCAGGCCGGGCCCCCGGCCTGGGGGTGCACACGAGTGAGGACAAAGTGTGCAGAAAAGATATGTGTTGGTCTGTGAGGGCAGTTTATGACCTATGAAAGCTATCAGATGTAAGCGTCCCGCCTCCCCCAGGCCGGGCCCACTTACATCTGATAGCTTTCACATATCTTTTCTGCATACTTTGTCCTCACTCGTGTGCACCCGGGAAGAATTTCCCGGTCGGTCACCCATCCCAAATTGAATTTCCCGGTCGGTCACCCATCCCAAATTGCTCCAGGCCAAGCACGCTTAACCCTGGAGTTCTTTAGAGATTGGCTTCCGGAAAAGAAGTTGCAACTTGTTGATATGAGTATTCTATTAATCCTATTAAGCCCTAGGCCGGGATGTTACACCCTCACCCCGCCTCCCCCAGGCCGGGCCCACTTACATCTGATAGCTTTCACATATCTTTTCTGCACACTTTGTCCTCACTCGTGTGCACCCGGGAAGAATTTCCCGGTCGGTCACCCATCCCAAATTGCTCCAGGCCAAGCACGCTTAACCCTGGAGTTCTTTGGAGATTGGCTTCCGGAAAAGAAGTTGCAACTTGTTGATATGAGTATTCTATTAATCCTATTAAGCCCTAGGCCGGGATGTTACACCCTCACCCCCTTAAGAGAGATCGACGCCCCCGTCGATCAACCCTAGGCCAGGAACGTCCTCTCTTGGCCACGTCCATGTGTCCAGTGCCAGCGCATATGCCATGCGACGCCCCCGTCGATCAACCCTAGGCCAGGAACGTCCTCCCTTGGCCACGTCCATGTGTCCAGTGCCAGCGCATATGCCATGCTGTGTAACCACTCCCGGTCTACACCAGCCATGCGCACCATGCCTGCGCAACTGCGACACACGCGCCCGTGAAACTGCGAGAGTCGGCTCTGATACCATTTTGTAACGTCCCGCCTCCCCCAGGCCGGGCCCACTTACATCTGATAGCTTTCATAGGTTATAGACTGCCCTCACAGACCAACACATGTCTTTTCTGCACACTTTGTCCTTACTCGTGTGCACCCGGAAAGAATTTCCCGGTCGGTCACCCATCCCAAATTGTTCCAGGCCAAGCACGCTTAACCCTGGAGTTCTTTGGAGATTGGCTTCCGGAAAAGAAGTTGCAACTTGTTGATATGAGTATTCTATTAATCCTATTAAGCCCTAGGCCGGGATGTTACATATATAGCCTGCATGGCCGAAAATCCTAACAGCGATTGATCGCCGCGCGCGGTCGGTCCCCTTCCACACGTGGTTTCCTTTTTAGTCACTGCATTACTTGCCTGTTTTAGTAAGTTTATACATTTGTACACCTCAAGTTTACACATCTAAAGTTATATACCTGAAGTTTGTACAGTTAAAGTTTGTAGACCCAAAGTTTATATACCCGATTCAAATTCGAATTCGGATTGAAATATTTTTTTTATCTAGAATATTTCTATGCATAAGGTTTATACGTGCGAAGTTACGATATCATGTCTGCACATTAGTATAAAGTCTATGTATATGAATAAACGTACTACATTTTTTTTCTGATTTTTTAACTTGTTTTTTTAAAATTTATGGTGCAGTCTCCATGGCTCCATTGTAGCTAGATAATGAACCAAAATATTTTTTGAGATAGAAAAGAAGGTTCAAGTGTTCATATAACTATTAGATAGCAACTAGCTCCAAGCCATAAACAAGGCTGCATATTTGTTTCGCCATTGCCCACTGGCTGCTGCTTGACTGCTTCCTCACAGTATTTGACATGCATCTTGCTGCCGCAGTCGCTGCCAATAGCAACAGAAACATCAAACAGGCACTAATTAACATTACTTAATTTAACTTGTAGCATATCCCCATGAAAAAAAAAAGAGAAAATTTTATTATAGCATTTCTCGATTCAGCATGCATGTAGAAACAAGAACGTATACATTTGAGAGCTCACAGTCAGGCGATGGAGCAAGAGTTGGGGTTATCGTCGCTGAACATTTGACGAATACTGTCAACTCTGTCCGAGTGCCACTGGCACGACGACGGCGAGTAGTAGTGGCCGTGGCCGTCTCCGGCGGCGCAGTGACAATAATGCCCACCCCGCTGCTGGTGGTAACCGCCGGCGAGGCCGTCGGTACACTGCCAATAATACAAGTAGTAGCCATAATACGGCGGCGGCGGCGGCGGCGGCGAGAACTGGTGGTGCACGCCGACGACGTCATCGCCTGAGTTGGACTTGCCATCTTGCTCGCCGTTGTTGTCCTTGTCGTCAACCTGATCTGCGCCGTCGTCATGAGTCCCGACGATGTTCGCGTCGGCGGGGACGACGTCGACGTCGACGACGATGTCGGTGTTCGTGTCGCCGGCGGCGGCGTTGAGCTTGCGGTCAATGCGGGAGACGATGGCGACGGTGAGGTCGCGGAGGCAGCGGTCGATCTCGGCGTTCACCTCGTCGAACTGCTCGGCGTACTGCCAGCCGCCGGCGACGAGGAGGCTGTAGTAGGTGCGGCGGCTGCTGGCCTGGCAGGAGCGGACGAGCAGTAGGGCACTGCCGAGTGCCTCCTCCAGCTTCACCACCAGCCTCCTCGTCGCCGCCGTCGACGGCGAGGATGAGGAGGAGGATGAGCCGCCGCCGTCGACGGCGAGGTCCTTGGTGAGCTCGCCGATGTCGCCGACGCGCTCGGCGAGCCTCTGGCACCTCTTCTTGTTCTGCCTCGCCGTCTTCGCCGCGCCGGCGATGTCGCTCGCGATGCTGACGATGCTGGTCACGTTGCTTACCAAGCTCAGGGCCTCCATTGATTGATTTGCTTAATTTGCTGATATCCTAACTTAATTCCTGATACTTGAGATTTGAGAATTCCAACATGTTAATTTGAAGGAACATGTACAGTTGATGTGTACAGTACATGAACAAGATATATATAGAGTACTGCAAGTAGTATTTTGCAACAAAGAGTTAATTGCGGATCAGTAAGGTTAATTCAATATATTCGGAATTAAGTCATCTAACAAGTCTACAACATGTGTTGAAATTTTACGCATTTATATATAAAAGCTGCATTCTTTAATAATTGTTTGGTCATATAGATAATACAACGTAAATTAATTCTAATTAACTGCAAGATATGTATATAGCGGTGAGACGAGAGAGGTTGACTAGCTCCAAGACAGACTGATGGCATCGTCAACGCGACGTGGTAGAAAAAGAGAAAAGCACGCGCATAGATCGTAGAGAGTTAGAGACTGATTAAGCAGCAAATTAAAGAAAACGTCGCAAACAGAAGGAAATTAAATAAATGGCTGGTGACAGGTTGTTATCTGATTAATCAAGCAGCTGCCCCGGCATCCAGTCCCAGAGCTAGTCTCTACGATTATGAAACTACGAATTAACTGTACATAGAGGCGGAAATGCTGTTGGGCGATCGATCGCGCTGGGGATGGGGCAGCGATCGATCCTCTCCCCCCTCCCTCCACCTGGTTTCCTTTTTTGACACCGCATTACTTTTCTATTTTAGTAAATTTATACACCTAAAGTTTATACACCTCAAGTTTACACGTCTAAAGTTTAGAGACCAAAAGTTTATAAGTCAAAAGTTTATATATCCGATTCAAATTTGAATTTGAATTCAAATATTTTTTTTATATATAGTATTTCTATACATCTAAAGTTTATAGACCTAAAGTTTATAAGTCAAAAGTTTATACACCCGTTTCAAATTTGAATTTGAATTATATCTGATTCAAATTTGAATTTGAATTCAAATATTTTCTATATACAGTATTTCTATACATCCAAAGTTTATAGATCCAAAGTTTATAAGTCAAAAAGTTTACATACCCGATTCAAATTTGAATTTGAATTATATCTGATTCAAATTTGAATTTGAATTCAAATATATTCTATATATAGTATTTCTATTCATCTAAAGTTTATAGACCCAAAGTTTATAAGTCAAAAGTTTACATACCCGATTCAAATTTGAATTTGAATTCAAATTTTTTATATATAGTATTTCTATACATAAATTTTTCTAACTTTTGTTTTTTAAAAAAAATTTGTGTGGTGTACTGTAGTAGAAAGAGAAGAAGGGGAGGAGGAAGGGAGAGAAAAGGGAGGAGTATAGGGGGAGAGGGGGGCAAACCGATCGCTGGGCGATCGCCCTGGCGATCGATCGCCCATTAGCCTCCCCCACATAGAGGTAATACTGTCCGACACCACACTGGCCATAACATGTCATGGGTCCTAAGATTTCTTCTAGATCAGCAGCTAGGTTCGTTTGGAATTGATGTTATCATGAGATTTAAAATCAAATCCAAAACGTGTAGAACTTCTTTAATTATCCAAGTACTCCGTGAGCCTACTCTCCTTTACTTCACCCACGTAAGTATTTCGACAAACGAGAAGATACAAAACTCATGGTGCAGTATTTGTTCAAACTTATAATAAGTAAACCTAACATAGAACGTATGCACATTAACTTGATGTGTAACATAAGTATGGTTATATTTGAGCCAATAATATTCTTTACCATATCTCATGGGGGAGGGGTGTTCATCAGAATGAGGGGTCGTTAGATACTTATGCAATCTTGTAGTTTGCATTCTGGTATTTGTGATTGTGGCTTATGATTTATAAGACCCTGTGCTGTCCTGCTTAGTTTTATTTTTTTGAGGAGAACGGCGGCAGGAGATCTGCCGGAATTTAATTAGAAGGAGAAAACAGTACAAAATGGTTCAGTCCAGAAAATAGGAATTGGAAACGATACAACAATAGACAGCACGAACAAAATACTTATGGGGGCCTAAAAGCCGAACTATGGAAATCAAGATCTTGCTTTAGGATATATGCCGCTGCTCTCTCTGAGATTGAAATATTGTTGAATACTCTTCTGTTTCTTTCTAACCAAACATTCCACCAAGTGGTAGCAGAGCTCCTCTCATCTTCTTCTTCTTCCCACACAATCAATTTGAGCCCACCAATCTGAGGTTCCGACAGAAGGGCCAACATTGTTTGTAGGTAAATGTTGCCAGGAACTAACTAGAGACCAAACTTCCTTGAGGAAAGGGCATTCGCTAAACAGATGATTAGTGTCTTCAAAGGCGCTTGTGCATAATAAACAACAAATCTAATTGCACGGCGAGTGTCTTTGCAATAAATTTTGAGCAGAAAGAGTTTTCTGGTGGATCCTGCTCAGCTTTATAGTCGTGGTGGATCTGAAATATAACTTTCTAATGTGAAAGTGTGGTAAATGAAATTGCAATCTTGATCACTTAATTGGCATTGGATCGCCACCGAAGTACTACCCATAGTAACATAAAACCAACTAGGCACTAATAAAATTATTCAGCATGCAGAACAATTAATTAATAACAGCACCAACCTTACAAATCAATAAACATATCCTCAGTTACAACTACATAAATTCGTTCAAAAAGAAAAAAAAAACTATATTGGGACTCAAAATGACCCACACAGCTGCAATCTATCTATCTATCTATCTATCTATCTATCTTCTATCTATCTATTTCTATCTATCTATCTATCTATTATCTATCTATTATCTATCTATCTATCTATCTATCTATCTTCTATCTATCTATCTATCTATCTATTATCTATCTATCTATCTATCTATCTATCTTCTATCTATTATCTATCTATTATATACTAAAAGTCCATTAAACTCCCTACAAACGCTCTTAAGCTGCCACGTGTCTCCCTCAAAACACTCTCAACTTGCCACGTGGCGTAACGAGAGGAATTCAGCACCTCGTAGGGCCCGCACATTATTTCCATAAATATATGTACGTGTACACAAGGCAAGATTTGAAATCTATCTAAAAGCAAAACATGTACTTGTCGTGAACGAACATAGATTAGTTCCATATTTGTGTGTGAGAGGCAATATTCCAAATCTCTCAAAGCAAAACATTCCAAATCTCAAAAAGCAAAATTTAGATCACTAGGAAAGATTATTAATTGCAACAAGGATTAGTTCCATATACATGAGACAATATTCGTAAGGCTTGCATGCATATATATACACCCCGCCAGCATGCGACATTAGTCGATTCCGGAAGAAGTCGATTCCAACGACGGAGCAGAAGAAGTCGATTCCGGCGGACGGAGCAGAAGAAGTCTGCGGCACCTTGCGAATTATCTTTGGCATAAGAAGGTATATCACGCACCCACAAAAGAACACAATCATGACATCATCTAATCATGATCTTGCAGCTAGGAAATAACATATGCATCTATACAGTTTTGTCATCATATTTTCAACAGAAGAAACTAACATTGCACCTACAAAAGAACACAATTACGATATCCTGTATTAGTTAGAGGTACATTATGTTGCATCTATGTATACAATTTTGTCAATTTTTTTTCCAGCACAAAAAAGTAACCTTGCACCTATCAAAGAACACAATTATGAGAGTTTGTATTAATTAGTTCTATAAAATAACATAAACATGTATACGACTCTCTGTCAAATTTGTTTAGTAACTATATGCAGTACTACTCATTTGCAGATAACATGGCACCTAGCAATTTGATTACTGCATTAACACCAAAGAACGATAGGTGGAGAATCAAAGTAAAAGTTATTAGGCTATGGGATGCGGTTAATCCTACAATGGTTGATGAGTTCTATGGTATACAGATGATTGTACTAGATGCAGAGGTATGATTGTTGTAAACATGTGATTTAATATATTGTTCTATTATGTAAATACTATTTTTTTGGTGCAGGGCAACTCAATACATGTCTCTATCTCAAAGCAATTGGCGAACCACTTCAGGCCAAAAATTAAGATTAACTCAATATATACTTTTAAAAATTTCAAAGTTATGGAACATGATAAATACCGTGTCCTAAAAAACAATCTGAAAATCCTTTTTTATCATGATACCATAGTAAAAGAGGTAAAATCAAAAAGACAATGTTTCTTGGACTATTACTTCGAGTTTACAGACAGGAAAACATTAAGGAGTAGGTTGAATAAAGATCAACAGTTATCAGGTATGTGCATAATCTTACTTCTTTTAAACATTGTTATTTGTACTAAAGACCTGTTTGTATTTAGATGTGATTGGCTTACTTAGCGGGATGAAGCCGATCGAGCAAAGAATGCTAGGAAAAAACACAAGCAGGGAGAGGGTTTGCAACATGCGTGAAATTGAACTCCTTTTATTAGAGTAAGATTGTTGTCTGCAAATTTAAACCAGCACTAATACTTTCTATGTGGTATATTTTACAAGACTTTATTGCATTTGTAGGGGAGAAAAAGTTAAAATTACTCTATGGGGAGATATTTTAGCAAATATGGTTGACGACGATTTGCTTGGGAAGCAAACTGTGTTCATCGCCACTGGACTTCTGGTTAAAGAATATGAAAGTGAGGATGTTATTTTTTTCTAATTTAACGTACTTATAGTTTTAGTAAACTAACGACATTGATCATTTAGAATTATTATCATTTGGAGTAACAAGTTCAACAGAAGTTTTTTTGGATATGGAAATTCCTGCAAGCATGGAAATATTGAGCAGGTGTGCAGTAGTAGCATTTAAATTCATATATATTTGTTGATTTGTCTAAAATTATCTGATGGATTATATTGCATTTTATTTATAGGCATAATGCTGAAAAGGTTTTGCCCACAATGATTGAAGTGGACGCAAGCACTCAAGGAACCATTGAAGAGCAAATGTTCTACAATAGAAAGACATTGAAAGAAATAACAGAATTGCGATATAGTAATATACAACAGAAGGTACATATCCATTCCTATGTTACGTTTATTTTTCATTTGTGTATTTAATGTTGGGAAAAATCTACTTGATGGCTGATGTAATGAGCATTACCTAAATTAAGTGGTACGTTTAGTCATGAAGTCATCTTTAGTCACTCTTTCAAGCTGATTAGTTAACCAACATTAATTTGTTTTTTATTTAGGAATTTATATGCACAGTCAAAGCTAAAATTGAGGAGATTAAATCAAGAAATTGGTGGTATATGTCTTGCGATAAGTGCTTTTGTGGAACAAGAAAGGAATCAAATGTATACATTTGCAATTCATGCGGAAAGGAAGCAGTGAACCCAAAACCACGGTAAGCATGCTCTTCAAATTTTATTTGACATATTGTAGCAGGTATATTTACCATTAACGGCACATTGTACCAGGTATGTAATAAACCTTGAGATAAGTGACCACACTACTAGGACGACATGTACAATATTTAATGAGGAAGCAGAAAGAATATTTGGTCATAAGTCTGTGTCCACCATGCTGGAGGAACAGAATGGACAAATTGATATGATTCCTGATACAATACGTCAGATATGTGGAAGAATATTGATATTCAGATTGAAGTTGACTAAAAGGAATTTAGAAGAGTGTAAGGAAGACTACAAAGTGAACTACACTTTTACACCTAATGAAAAGCTTGAGATGAATTATGTAAATGACAAGGCAGAAGAGGTATGACTATTTGCATTATTCTTTTTTATACATGTTATAGATCTTATATTACAATATAAATATTAATTTGCAGTCAATGTTGAAGTACAACGATGATTATGGCTTCACTGATTTGAAAAAAATATTTTTGTAATGCATATGATATATATATAATTATTTATTGGATGTTCTGTAGTTTGGGCAGCACAATTTTCAGGTAAAAGAAGAGCCAAAAAATGAAAGTAGTGATGATTATGAAATGAACAATCATCGCAAAACAAAGAAAGAGAGATCAAACATGAGATCTACAAAAAGATCAAACAAGGTATGTATAATTGCTTTCTTACATAACAATTCGTAAAGTTGTTTATAGTAGTACACTAATAATGATGTTTTATAGGAACCATACATTACCGATTCTGATGGGAAAACAAATGAAAAGGCAATCACAATCGATGATGATTCCGAAGAATCACTTGATGATTATTTTGATGAAGAATACAATAAAAAGGTTACCCAGGAGAGTACAAAGACAAATCCTTCTAAAAGAAGAGTTACAAGACGCTTTAAAATAGCTAACAAGGTACTTCATTTATTTACTTTCCAAATTCACTCAATTTAGTTTTCACATAAATTATTTACCATTTCAATATGGCACTATGATATAGGCTAAGAAAGATCTTATATTACAATATAAATATTAATTTGCAGTCAATGTTGAAGTGCAATGATGATTATGGCTTCACTGATTTGCAAAAATCAGAAGATGAGGTAATATATAACAAATAAAAAATATTTTTACAATATATATTATATATATAATTATTTATTGGATGTTCTGTAGTTTGGATAGCACAATTTTCAGGTAAAAGAAGAGCCAAAAAAATGAAAGTAGTGATGATTATGAAATGAACAATCATCGCAAAACAAAGAAAGAGAGATCAAACATGAGATGTACAAAAAGATCAAACAAGGTATGTATAATTGCTTTCTTATATAACAATTCGTAAAGTTATTTATAGTACTACACTAATAATGATGTTTTATAGGAACCATACATTACCGATTTTGATGGGAAAACAAATGAAAAGGCAATTACAATCGATGATGATTGTGAAGAATCACTTGATGATTATTTTGATGAAGAATACAATGAAAAGGTTACACAGGAGAGTACAAAGACGAATCCTTCTAAAAGAAGAGTTACAAGACGTTTTAAAACATCTAACAAGGTACTTCATTTATTTTACTTTCCAAATTCACTCAATTTAGTTTTCATATAAATTATTTACCATTTCAATATGGCACTATGATATAGGCTAAGAAAGGAAAATGTTCTGAAATGAAAACTCAGAGAAATAAGGTACAATTCTTACTTTTCTTTCATATACAAAACGATTTGTCAAACTATTACTGACATGTTACATACAATTGATGGGTATTAATAGGAACCATATACTACTGATTGTGAGAAGATAGCAAATGACAAACCAATTTCGCTTGATGATGATTTTGATGAAGAATATAATAAAAATATGGTCATGGCGGACACCAGTACTTCTAAAAGAAAAGTCAGACACTACATAGGACAAACTAACATTGTACTTCATTGAGTTTTACTTTCTATTTAATGTTACCTTTCATGTTTGTCCATTAATGTCAATATGCTATTGTGCAGGTAAGGGGAAAAGGTTGTGGAAAGAAGAGTACAAATATGGGAACTTGCACAAAAAGTGCAATTGAAAATACAATTCAAGATGATGAAGTATTTGATATATTTGTTAAATAAATCATGTATTTTAACATAAAACTTTTTTAATTAACTAACTAAGAACACAAAATTTAGGTGCATGACGGAAAAATTGCTTCAGGAACTGCTAAAAGACCATCAAGGAAATTTATAATTTCAGATAGTGAGGTATTGCATGAGACAATTTATCAAGTTATTAATTAATATATATTTTTTTTGTAACAACTAATTTTTTTTCCATAGGATGAGCACAGCAGTAATACAAAGGTGACTGAGGACAGCACCAGCTGTAATAGTAGTAAGGAAGATATAAACAAAGGTCGATGCAATTATAATATTGAGAACATTAAAGTTCACATGAATGAGCAGTCCAGTCGATGCAGATCAACAAGGATTAGAAGACCACCCACCCGATACTCATATTAGGTACAACATATTACTTCTGGGAAAATGTTGGTTGCTTTAGATTTGGTTTGATTAGTAAATTATAATAATATGGTCTTTCGTCTGCAGGTAATTTATCGTCAAGAAGGCCCAAAAGAACCAATTAAAAGGAGGGTTCAGCCAATACTTTTTATTGAAGAATAGTATTATATATGTTCCTATTAATTTTTATGTTCATTAGATATTGTCAGATGTAACGTACAACTTGCACTTGCCAAAGGAATCCTTGGATTACTTTGTTTATTTCTAAGATAGAGAGTTAATAACATTCAATATAAATGCATGCATGTACCTTCAGTACATGTATATGAGTCGATCCCTGCTTGCTTCCTCTACCGTTGATATCCTAAAAGCATATAAAACAAGATCAGTTGATTTAATAATTCTTAATTAATACAAATCCCCAAGCAAGAAACTTAATGATTAAAAAAACTTGATTATGTAAAATGGAAATCAATCAAGAAAGATGAGCTCTCGGGGCTACCTTCGCTCTCAGCCATGCTTGATGTTGCTGCACCTGCTATCCGCACTGCCCCAACACCTGCCATCCCCACTGCCCCATTTCCTACAAATACCACCTCCCATACCAGAGCCAACTAACCGATGGCTAACACTGCTCCTGATCTAGACATCCTGCGGTGGATCTACCAAGGCACTGACTTGGATGCCCTATGGTGGATCTAGCCAACCAGTCTTTCAGCCGTCGCTACCACAAGGCATTCCCTCTCAAATCGGCTCCGATGGATGAGTAGTGGAGGAGAAGGTAGTGATGAGTGAGCTAGATAGATTGGAGAAGAATATATGTTCAGATTCTCCGCCGCCTGGCCTTCGCCCTCATGTGGCCATTCGGGACAGGAAGACAAACGCGACCGCAGCGCAGATATGTGGCCAGGAAGGGCTTGGGAGGAGATAACGATGTGCCTGCAATTTTACACTTTGGTCCTGCAGTGGATTTTAATTTATAAATGAGCCCTCAGTCTATTATCAGTACTTCAGTAATGAAACGTGTTTAGTATTTACCAAAATATAATGAATCTCCTTAGGATGATTGTAAACCTTTGGATGTTCTAAATAAAACCGCATCAAAGGAACTTTCCAAATGTGTAATATTTAAATGGATTTCACAATAATTTAATTAACTTCTGTAAAAATCAGGCAAAAAATATCTAATTAGAAATTTGACAATATATATATGCAATCTATTTTCAAGTACAATAAAAAAAATATACCATCTATTCAGCTTATCATCCGTACCAATAATTTCAATTTTAAAACTGCCAAAAAAAGCCACATTGTTTTTTATATAACCGTACTAAAAGTATTGCAAAATAGAGTTGACCGTACACAGTATTAAGGAATTACATCTTATACATAGAATGGAAACGATACCATTAAAAAGAATGGAAGACAATTGTTCAAGTATAGTAATAATATGGATGGAGTACTAATCCACGACACATAGGTTCATGGAAACTCCACGGACTCTATATTCCTATATAAATTAATCTTACAACAATGCTGCAATAAACAATCTACTCTTCCTTTCTTCCGGAGACACCAGTCAGGTCCCTATCAGTTCTCTCCATCATCTTCCATCACAGTGCAACTTATAGATTTATATTGACAAACACTCACATATGCAGTTGATACTTTATATTTTTTGACATTTGATTCGCAGTTGATACTTGCACAACAAAAATATAGGAAAACACGATGCAGAGTGGAAATCACCCTACGGATGATGGCAGTCCAACACAGGACAGGTAAGAATCACCCTAAATACCTTAATCGTTTGTGATTGACTCCTGCAAACTGCGACAATTATGAACTGATTTTCATATCCAATTTTAACAGTTCAAACTTGACTGCTCGAGCCAATTCAAAGGAATTATCGCGGTTAGCAAGATCGAAAAGGAAAAGAAAACTAGACCTGAGAAGGAGCGGATCTCCATCGACCAAAAATTACTCCAGTGCGGATGAAACAAATGCTCTTCAAAGGTAAACACTCAAGTTATCATCACAATTACTAAAAAGGAAATGCGTCATATTTAACAAGGATATGCCAACATTTACCAGGAAAAGAAAACTTGATGAAAAAAGGACTGGGTTTCAAATGAGCAACAATGAGTCAAGCGCAGACACAGGAAATCCCCTGCAAAGGTAAAATTATAGGCGAAGAATACAATTACCTATGAAGGTCCTGTATTTAATAACAATTTATTTCAACCGCAACAATTATGAACTGATTTTCAGATCCAAGTTTAACAGTTCAAGCGTATGTATTTAATAACAATTAATTTCCGAATAGGCACAATACATCAGAATCAGTCAAAAAAAGTAGTTATCTCCCTGTTTTGACATCCAATTTTCACAGCTCGAACTTCACTGCTGAAGTAAACTCAACGGAACTCGCACGCTTATCAAGACTGAACAGGAAAAGGAAACTTGACCTTAGAAGAAGCGGATCTACATTGAACAACAGTTCGACCTGTTCAAATCCAGCAAATCACATTGAAAGGTAAACATACAGAAAATCAACAAAATTGTTAGAAAGGAAATTTTTCCTTATTTAAGAATAAACACTGACTGTGATATGAATAAAATCAGGTCTAGAAAAGAAAAATATCAGATCCCATCAACCAACATGGAAACGAATAGGTATGTTAACCACATTATAAAAATGATATCGTCATTCAGTTTATTTTTAAATCACTTTTTTCTTTTATGAAAAAAAATATTTGTCTTCCAGTCTCAAGATGAATGATCGAGTAAGTAAGGAAGGAAACATTATAAGGAATAAGGTTGCTGATACAGGAAATCCCCTGCAAAGGTAAAATTATAAGCAAAGAATACAATTACCTATGAAGGTCCTGTATTTAATAACAATTTATTTCAACCGCAACAATTATGAACTGATTTTCAGATCCAAGTTTAACAGTTCAAGCGTATGTATTTAATAACAATTAATTTCCGAATAGGTACAATACATCAGAATCAGTCAAAAAAAAGTTGTTATCTCCCTGTTTTGACATCCAATTTTCACAGCTCAAACTTCACAGCTGAAGTAAACTCAACGGAACTCGCACGCTTATCAAGACTGAACAGGAAAAGGAAACTTGACCTTAGAAGAAGCGGATCTACATTGAATAACAGTTCGACCTGTTCAAATCCAGCAAATCACATTGAAAGGTAAACATACAGAAAATCAACACCATTGTTAGAAAGGAAATTTTTCCTTATTCAACAATAAACACTGACTGTGATATGAATAAAATCAGGTCTAGAAAAGAAAAATATCAGATCCCATCAACCAACATGGAAACGAATAGGTATGTTAACCACATTATAAAAATGATATCGTCATTCAGTTTATTTTTAAATCACTTTTTTTTTATGAAAAAAATATTTGTCTTCCAGTCTCAAGATGAATGATCGAGTAAGTAAGGAAGGAAACATTACAAGGAATAAGGTTGCTGTACCACCAAGGAAGAAGAAAAAATCAAGCGTGAAAGAATGGAATTTTGGCAAGCCTACATGCACATGTCAACACTGTGGTGCACTTTTCTGGTATGAAGAAAGAACTCGTGGCAAAGGAAAAGGGCCACCTTCTTTTAGCTTATGCTGCAAACAGGGCAAGGTTGACTTACCTACACTAAAGAAACCACCTACTTACCTTTCAAATCTGATGTGCAAAGAAAAAGGAAAGAGATCGAGGAACTACATGGACAATATCAGAGTATATAACTCCATGTTTGCATTTACCTCCATGGGAGGAAAAGTTGACAGAGAGATAAACAATGGGTCTGGACCATATGTTTTCCGCATGAATGGCCAGAACTACCACCGAATAGGTACTCTACTGCCTGAAGAAGGCGATAAACCTCGCTGGGCGCAACTTTACATCTATGACACTGAGAACGAAGTCAAAAACAGAATTGACGCATCAACATCATCCCATAATAGAGAATCAATAGATTCACACATTGTCTTAGGCCTAAAGAACATGCTGGACAGAGAAAACGTACTAGCACAGACATTCAGAATGGCAAGAGATAGATTCAAAGAAGGTGACTATCATAATGTAAGCCTACGACTTATAAGGAAGCGTGGTGGAGATGGCAGGCAGCATAACATGCCATCGGCATCGGAAGTGGCAGCACTGATTGTTAATGACACGAGTGAGAACCAAAAAGGACGTGACATAATTGTTCATTATAAAGACACAGGGCCCAGAAGAATATCAGAAAACCATCCAAAATTCATGCCAATGCAGTACCCGTTGCTATTTCCCTATGGAGAAGATGGCTTCACAAACAAAATATTGTACAGAGATAACCATGGATCCAAATGCAAGAGAAAACATTTGACCATGCTGGAGTACTATGCTTATCGCATACAACAGCGCAAAAATCAATGTATGCACTTGCTAATGTGTGAAAAATTGACGTTGCAGTTCATTGTTGATGCACTAGCGTGCATAATCCAATATAGGCTGGACTGGATAAGAAAACATCAAGGGAATCTTAGAACTGAACTGTATGCTGGCTTGCAGGATGCAATTGAAAGGGGTGACACAAGAGCTGAACAGGTTGGAAAAAGGATACTACTTCCTTCATCTTTCACAGGCAGCCCAAGATACAAGGCACAAAACTACCAAGATGCTATGGCAATATGTCGTTGGGCAGGATACCCAGACCTGTTTGTCACTTTCACGTGCAACGCTGCTTGGCCAGAGATACAAAATATGCTAGATGAAATAGGAGTTCAGAAACCATCAGATAGACCTGACATTGTTGACCGAGTATTCCATATAAAATTGAGGGAATTGATGACAGACATAAAGGACAAGCAATACTTTGGAAAGACTCTTGCAAGTAAAAATCCTAAACCCGCATATTCATTAGTTCGAATTTATTTAATTTTAAAAAGGAACTAACAATTGTCCATCTTAATGCAGTTATATACACAATTGAGTTCCAAAAGAGGGGACTTCCACATGCCCATATACTAATCTTCCTTGACAAGAAAGACAAATGCCCAGACGCTTCAGAGATCGATAGAATAATAAGTGCAGAGATCCCAGACAAGGAAGAAGACCGCGAAGGATTTGAAGCTGTGGAAAATTTCATGATGCACGGTCCATGTGGAGAGGCAAAGTCAAATTCACCATGCATGATAGAGAACAAATGCATCAGAAATTTCCCCAAGAAATTCCACAGTGAAACAACCGTGGATGAGGATGGATTCCCAACATACAGAAGAAGAGACAATGGCAGGTACATAGAGAAAGGAAACGTTAAGCTAGACAACAGATATGTAGTCCCTTACAATAGAGACTTGCTGGTAAAGTACCAAGCACACATAAATGTCGAGCGGTGCAATCGATCTAAGTCAATCAAATACCTTTTCAAGTACATGCATAAAGGCGACGACCAAGCAACAGCCCTAATCGAATCTGATCATGATGAGATCAAGAAGTACCTGGAATGCACGTACATATCAGGACATGACGCATGTTGGCGAATATTCCAATTTGAGATGCACTATCGATATCCATCTGTTGAGAGGCTACCATTCCACCTGGAGAATGAACAGCAAGTTATTTTCCCAGACTCGGCAGACTTAAGGAAGATTGTAAGAAAAGAAAGAATAGGAGTCACTAAATTTACACAGTGGATGGAAACAAACAAGATCAATGATGAAGCAAGGGACTTCACTTATGCTGAATTCCCATCAAAATGGGTATGGAAGAACAAACTAAAACAGTGGAACAAGCGGAAAAAAGGAAAAATGATTGGTAGGATCTACTATGCACATCCAGCAAGCGGAGATAAATACTACCTAAGGATGCTACTGAACACAGTGAAAGGACCCAGAACATTCGAAGAAA